TTACTGCAGGAGACAGAATGAATTAAGCCTAAAGGCACAAATAAGAGACTGTACAACTGGGTGAACCCTCCCTGGCTTCGCGCAGGTGCAATATGCATGTATTATACTATAAAACTTTCAATAAAAAACTGTTGAAGGTAAATCCTCCGCTAACGCCGGTCACCGGTGACCCCCATGGCGTTTAACGTGTTAAGAATCACTCTACCTATTAAAAAAAAGCCGCATCAAAATGCGTTGCTTAGTTTTAAAGATCTAAGCACACATAGGGACAGACAGACGGCGGATAGCGACTTTGTATTATACTATGTAGTGATGCGCCACGACTAAAAATTTCTCAAATGACGACCTCAATCGACGAGCATGCATGAAGTGTTACAATAACTACTATTGTGAGACATACAAAATTAACTAACAGAGGCGTTCTTCCTTCGGCGGCGACCGTGCACCGCTGTGACCGTGCACACTGCTCAGTGCTCATGAGGAAGAGCCCCTCTGGCTCGAAACTAGTAAAGCTTTTCTCAGTATTTACATTATTCCAGTCCACAATCTATCTCTGTTCTAAACTTTATCCCGATCCATTCACAGCCGTTTCGACGTGAATGGACACACACACGCACACACACACACATATTTATCGGATCATAAGTAACTTGGATGTAAATTACCTCGAGCGCACGGCCAAGTAGGCTCAAAGAGCCATCAGGCTACCACAGATAGGGCCTAATAGGATACTAAACCGCGAAGGCCTTAAAGGGTTCGGTGTGGTTTTCAATCAGTAAGAGTGTGACAGTACCTCTCGCTACATCCGGGTAAGAGAAGTGATTAGGTGATTTTCTCCTGTCAATAAAAGGTCTAAACTATACAGTTTAGTAGGTATACTACCTATGTTTCCTGATTATTATTTGATGATTCACACCAATGTCACATCATTGCAATAATCATAAGGCAATTACATATTAGGTATGTACCTATGCAAAAAGTGATCTCAGGGATCGCTGGACTATGCCGGATCTCAAAGCACAAGTCATTTGCGTCATTCACTATTCAATTGAATTACTTGATCGATCATCATCAATTTATTGAAAAGTACGTTTGTTGTATGGTCATCAAAGTCATCATCACTTGACGATTTTTTATATATCACCCTGATGGTAGCAGTTTTCATTAAACAGCCTTGTTCATTGAACGGTTGTGAGAGCTACTGCCGGCAATGTGTCCCTAATTAGGTTTTGAGGTTGTGCTTTACTGAAGATTTTACGGTTTATCGATTGAGGATGGATGAGACCCCAAACGGAGACCGGAGGCCCAAATACCCTCCCCTTCCCCAATCTCCCCAATCCCTGAGTCCCCAACGATCCTCAAACTCCAAATCCCCAAAATGCCGGTAACGCACTTGTAACGCCTCTGGTGTTCCAGGTGTCCATGGGCGACGCCTATTGCTTACCATCAGGTGGTCCGTCTGCTCGTTTACCGGCTTATGCCATAAAAAAATGAGGATTTCACGGATTTAACGAAATCTTTATTAAAAAAAATTATTAAAACATTTATTTTAGAAAAGAGTAACGATGGAGTTTCTTAGGTACTCGTTCTTCGCCATCCGAAACTAAACTTTGGAACGAGCACCTAGCTTCAATGAAAATTCAATTTGACGTTTCAAAAGGGCCTCTAATTGAGGATAATAGAAATAAATGTTAACGTTGAAGATTTATAATAAATTGTCAGTAACAGCGCAAAGTTTGGATATTTACAATAAACTCACTCCTGTCATAAATCAGTTGTGTTACATAAACAGTTACCTCTCCTGGGACTTGAAGGTAGTAACCAACTTAAAGTTATAATATTAAGTCATGTAGGAGCAGTGTTTGAAACTGAATTCTTTATCTTAAAGTACAATGTATCAAAAGTTGCAAGGATATGTAAAAATCCTGTATACATATAATAGGCAGACATATGTCATAATTATAATACGTAATTTGCTTAAAATATGTTATTATGTATTTGTTACGCTACATTGAGGAAAATAAATCATTTATAATCTTCGTTATTTCTATAATGCATTTGTAGATTGGTATCTTATCTACATTAAAACTGGATTATTAGTTGAGCTGATCTCATTTTAAAACTAATTCCGTACCAAGTGATAATTAATATAAGTTTTTCAATTTACTGCCTCGTTGGCCTAGTAGTCGCAAGTGCGATTGCCGGGCAAGGGGTTTCAGGTTCGATTCCCGGGTTGGACAAAGTATTAATGGGTTTTTTAAAAATCCTTAATAGTAGCACGGAGTCTGCAATTGCGTCCGGTATATGGCAATAGACTTACCCTCAATTACTTGGGACTCATAACATGAATAGTGAAAAGTGGGTGTTACATTGTACAGTGGCATAATGTGCACCTCTGCCTACCCCTTCGGGGATAAAAAGCGTCATCTTATGTTATGTTTTTCAATTTATTAACATCACATCTGAGACAATCTTGTCTACTAATTGGTAATTCATTGTTGACATACTCACAGTACTTGACCTTAACTTAACTTTGGGCATTTTGCAAAGATCGGTTGACACTTACTATAGTCTACTAGTAATCCTAATTTTTGAAAGAAATATATCAATATTAAAATTGTGGTATCCAAACATTTTGGATTGACGAAGCAAAGAATCTTAATAAAAAACGTAAAATTTAATTAATTTCATAAAACCAGTATGGTCCAATTGTATCACTCCAAGTAATTGGCCAGTCGTAGGTCGTGGTTTGAAACCAAGCAAGCAATTTCGTGTTTAGATAATTGCACAAAATAGTATGATGATAAAAAAACTTTACGATTATATAAATTGGTTTATTATATCGTGATTCGATTTTCGATAAGATTTCGATTACTTATGAGTGGCGATGGTAGAGGAAATTACTTTAGACACGATCCCGACTCTTGTGCGGGTTACGTGAAACCGACTAAGAGCCTATACGTAATGTTCAACAGAGATTGATTGATTTGAAAACAGATCCTTTTAAGCTGTAATCGCTAATTCTCCTGCCAAGCGTGGAGCCTACAGCGAATCCCTCTTTTGCAGTGGAGTCTTCATAGTCCAGCACAGTCCTTTCAGGGGCTGTGAGTTATGACAATAATGATGTTACAGATTTTGATGACATTATATGAGTATATTACAACGAATAATGTAGACTGGTCGCTTGACCAACTAGTTACAAGAACAGTTACTGAATGGCCGTGTACCGCAATAGGATTGTTACGATTTCATCATGAAATCGTAAGAAGTCCTATGTGATATAGTTAGATCATCCTCATCTTATCATCATGTCAGACACAAACTGTCCACGAACGACCTGGTACTCTCTATTTTTATCATATCATCCACCGTATGGATGGACGTCCTCTGATGCGATTGCCAGTATAACACCTTCGTTCAAGAACCTTTTTGCTCATCGGTTCTCATCGCTGTGTGCCCCGCCCACTGCCACTTTAACATCAGACTAGATAGCTGGTTTTTTGTTCTCCGTAGATAAGTTGTTATAAATATAATATGTATATGTCAGTCGTCCCTAGACAAGTTTATCGTCTTAAAAACATAAGAAGTCAGCCTGCATTCTCTCAGAACGTCTTCAGAACCAGTCATAGGTCACAGTCGTTTGTGTTTTTTTTGTCAATATCAAAACGATTATCATTTTTGTTGGATGCTTTTTAAGTTTTTATTCAACAGACAAAATTATAGTTCGGTGACCGGACAATTAACACATACAATAACATATGTTGGGGAATTCTATATGGTCATTAAGTATATACCGCACATTATAAATAAACATTAGTATAGTCAACTTGTTGTACTTATTGTATCTGGTGACTTATTGGTACATCCCCGAGCCATCTTATAAAATTGTCATTATCAAACCACTTATTCTTAATTTACTTAACTCTAAGATATTTTATCATTTTTAATAATAAATATAGGAACAAATGTTTTATATACGGGATTACAATTCATTATCAATCTTAATCATTACAAGTATATACTGCTGAGGAAGAAAGGCCTCGCTCATAAGACTTTGGCCATAATCACTTGACTTAGAATAGAGTATAGTATACAAAAGGTACTTTTTTCAAAGTTTCGAGTTCAGAAAGTCACAAAATATCATTTCATTATGTCAAAATCATTAAATAATGTACATAGTTTGGATATAAACTTATATTTAGAAAAAGTGTATCTATGTCTAAATGTAATCTCATTTTTAATGTCATTTTTAATACACTGGTATTTTCTCGTGTCGTGAGTGCCTTTACAAATATACAAATTGACATTCACATATCACCTAGACCCGAAACAACATTCTGTGGATGACACAAAGTGTGACACGGCAGCCAGGTGCCCAGCTCCAACCGTGCAGTCAAAACTACAGATTAAACTGGTTCTCTTTATAACATTTTTCATTTTTACTTATTCAACACAAGACTTATAATAATTTCAATATTGATTATCAAAAGAATAATAATAAACATAAATAGAAAGAAAAATATATATTGTGAAAAGATCAAAAAAGAAACGACGAGAAATGTTCATGGTCCATGCCTACGATAAAAGGATCACTACCACCTCAGCATGGGGTTGTACGCAGAAACATCAAAATTGATTTTCAGACGGAACCCTGCAAACAAAAACCAAGGAAATGAGAAAAAGAACAAGGTATAAATGTTAGTAAAAGAAGGTACGAAGTAGGGAGAAAATAATTATCTAATGACTTCCTCTGGCTTGGGTGAAGCAACAGAGGTCAGACTCTTACTGACTAAAACCCCGTTAAGTCTTCCGCCGATCCGTATCGGGCATTAGTCCTACTGGGCCTCATCGAGGCGGTGAGCTCACTGAGAGACTGTTGCGCGATCTCCGACGCCCAGAGTACCTCCCGCGACGGCTGGGGCGTAAAAAGGTTCCCTCCTTCCCGCGCCCTGCCTCCTGCTTGGCTGGCATGGCTCAATCCCCCTCACTCCGCACCATGGATTGAACCAGAGGCAGATGCGAGAGGTTTCCGTCGCTGACCACATTCCTGAGGACACGGCGGTGCTCAGTCCATTCAGGGCACACCGCCACTCTATGCTCCACTGTGTCCTCCGTGCGGTCTTTGCAGTGATGATACCTGCACGTTTTCTCCCACCCAATCAGAAAGAGGTACTTTCAAAAACTGTCTCGGGCGGTAGGTGAAGACGCCGTAGCGTCTCTCGAGCCACTGTTTAAAGAGAAGATTTACCGCTGCAATGTGACAGCGAGCCCAATGATAGTATTATTTTGTAATTGATAGTATATACGTATAAAATCAAGTCGCTTTTATTTGTCTGTCCATGCTTGAATTTTGTAGCGCTTTTTTAATAGAGAACCAGAGAATGAGTCAAGAGGTAGGTTTATATGTATGTATTTTATTTTTATACTATGCGTGCTTGCTAAGCTAGTAGCCGTAATCGTATAATATGATAACAATGTCAGTAATTCAGTACCTACTTATGACTTAAAATTATAACACACCACGGTGTCTTGATTCTGGACACAAGCTGTCGCAGTTGCCATGTTTTCACTATTTGTTGTCTGTTTTAAACTCTCAGTGGAGTTCTCATATTCTATTGTCGTAGACGTAACATTTGTTGTAATTAAAGATTCTGATTCAGTTACATTGTTCCGTAAAATTTGTAATATTTGAGGTGTGTTTGGAATTGCTCTCTTAAATATTTTGGTACCAAATAGAATTTCATTTGGTTCTAAATCTTCAAAAAGTTTTGCTAACGTATTTTCGGTATAAGGTGTTATAGTTTCTGTAGTCATGGTTTTAATGGGTATCGATTGAGTTCTGTTAATACGTAATTCGGTGCGTTGAGTAACTGATGTCGTACTTTGAGGGACTGTTGTATTAATTTGAGAAACTGATCTAATACTTTGAGTAACTCTTGCATTACTTTGAGTAACTGTTGCATTACTTTGAGTAACTGTTGGATTACTCTGAGTATCTGTTGCATTACTTTGAGTATCTGTTGCATTACTTTGAGAAACTAATTTATTATTTTGAGTAACTGTTGCATTACTTTGAGTAACTGTTGGCTTACTCTGAGTAACTGTTGCATTACCTTGAGAAACGAATTTATAATTTTGAGAAACTATTGCATTACTTTGAGAAACGAATTTATTATTCTGAGTAACGGTTGCATTGTTTTGGGAAACCGATGGATTACTCTGAGTAACCGTTGCATTACTTTGAGAAACTGATTCATTATTTTGAGTAACTGTGTCAGCATTTTTAATAACTGTGGCAATAATTTGAGTAACTGTTTCAGTACTTTGCGTCCTTTTGGATTGTGAAGAAGTTACCTTTTCTGTGGCTGAAGATATTTGCATTTTTGTCTCTTTTGTACTTACTGTAGGTTCAATTAAAACAGTCGGTTTAGTCACATTTTGTCTAGCTAAAGATTTCACTGACAGTTTATCAAATGTGGATTTCAGCAATTTATTCTCGAGTATGTCACTGTCGATTTTAGGGCCTTTATTTGAAGTTCCGGACATTGGAGTTCTTGTCGGTCTTTGTCTTTGTGCAGATTTTTCAATTACACCTGATAGTTTGCTTTTATTATCATAGCCACATTCCAATCTATCACCACGGATTCGACATCCGTTGCTCAAATTAATAACTTGGTCAATTGGATTCAGTCCTTTGTTCTTCCCATAACCACATAGTATCCTACTACTGATTTCTATACATTCTTCGTAATCGGCGTTGTTTTTAGTTGAAATTTTTATTGGTTCGTTTCGTTGCCTTTTTATGGGAATTATATCCATATCATTCTCTAGATAGCTGTCTGACGAATCAGAAATTGGCAATAATGGATCGAAGAGACCATTTCCGAAGCCAGGAGCAAACTTCATTGTAAATATACCTTTAGGTACGAGCAAACATATCTGAAATGTAAATGTTAGTTACTTAATGTTTGTGGAATGTTTGTATCGAACACGATTAGTTAAATGTTTGGACTTGATATTCATATCAGACAAAATTTGAATGTGTATTGAAAGTTGTTTGGGCTAGGTCATTGACGTGTTACCCTACATCAATGGGCTAAGCATTATAATTATTAATTGAACATGCCACATAGGAATCATCCACATTGCAGTCTCACCACCGTACTCAGAGTCATTCAATGGCTACTTAACCCAGTCCTTACCCGAGCGTACGGCGCGTCGCGTTCCGCGCGCGCCTCAAAGAGCCATCAGACCACCACAGATGGGGCCCAATACGGCCGATGCCGATTCGGAGTCGCGGAGAACCTAACGGGTAACCGGGGCTCCGGCTCGACGTGCAGGAGAAGGAACGGGGTGGTTTTTAGTCAGTAAAAGTCTGACACTCCCTCCCGCCTCACCCAGGCGGGAGGAGTAATTCGATGATTTTCCCCCCTTAAAAAAATAAAACCCAGTCCTTAGCAATTGTTTTCGGAACAAAATCTTTACTAAGGAATAGTTTCAAGTAATCATCAAATGTCTCTGCTGAGTGCGGCAGTTAGAATCAAAACACAAAATATTTTAATTGTTATATTGATTTAAAGTTCTATAATTATTTTTAAACTAACTGAAACTTGTGATGGGATATCCACTATAATTATTACAAAAATATTTCTTTTAGCCATATAATGATAAATTTATATTAGTAATAAATTACTGAAACTGGTTACTAATGTTTCTTTTTTTTATGGCATAAGCCGGTAAACGAGCAGACGGATCACCTGATGGTAAGCAATCGGCGTCGCCCATGAACACCTGGAACACCAGAGGCGTTACAATTGCGTCACCGGCTTTTTGGGGATTAGGAATTTGAGGATCGTAGGGATTCAGGGATTGGGGAGATTGGGTAAGGGGAAGGTAATTGGGCCTCCGGTAACCTCACTCACACAACGAAACACAACGCAAGCGTTGCTTCACATCGGTTTTCTGTGAGGCCGTGGTATCACTCCGGTCGAGCCGGCCCATTCGTGCCGAAGCATGGCTCTCCCATACTTAAAATGTAATTGATTAACTATGTGCATAGTAATTATCCTACTTTATTAATACAACAAAACCATCTTACCAGTAACGTTATTGACATTGTATATTTTTCTCCATAAACTTAGGAATCGGCTCGACGTTTAGATTTGATTAATTTAACTTTACGTTCATAATTTTTCAATTTTATTTTCACATTTTCTGTTGTACGGTGTACAGATACACTTTGAAGGTAACTTTAATATTAAACCTGTGGTTTGTCCCTTCGTTATTAAGTGTTCTCTGACTTTCTTGATAAATTTCTTATTCTTTATTTGCATATAGTCAGATGAGCGGAAATCCATAAAATTAAATTAGTATCTATTGTATAATTCTGGGTATCTGACAAATGTAGTTAAATCAAGTTTCATTTGGAATCATTTTTAATAATGTAAAAATGAGTCCAAAAGTCTCAAATTCATTGAACAAATAAAGAACAATTAAAGGTAAGATTACACCATGTAAAACTGGATCTATTGCAGATATAGCGTCGCGGAGAACCTAACGGGTTACCGGGGCTCCGGCTCGACGTGCTGGCGAAGGAACAGGGTGATTTTTAATATACCGATGATATTCCCCCCTTAAAAAAAATGCAGATATAGGGTCTATGATCTATCATAGACCCTATATCGTTAAACACACATCGATATGTGTTTGTTCTTTAAGTAAATTTTAATGTAGCAAATCATTATAATTTTGTTTAACATCATAATCATTTTTTTTTAAAAAACGAATTAGTAATGGACTCTACTGTATTTTTGCTCACCAGATAGCAGTAGTGTAACCCTCTCCCCTTTCGTTCAATAGAGAATTCGCTGGTTTCACACCATTGGCTGTTCAATATATAATCAGCTTGTGATTGGACAAAAAGAACTCATTCTAGATTTGCGCCACCTGGTGTGCAAAAAAACGTTAGCTCCTATTTCGGAGATTAAGATGACATTTAATTTTATGAACATTACATTACATATTATAATTTTAGTAGCATTGAAAATTATGGTTTCATATAATGTTTAATACCATTAAATTAATATGACTGCACGGTTGGTGGGGTGGCTGGGCAACCGGCTGCCGTGCAACGTGTCGCGGGTTCGATTCCCGCACGGAACAACACTTTGTGTGATCCACAAATTGTTGTTCCGGGTCTGGGTGTCATTGTGTATGTGAACTTGTATGTTTGTAAACGCACCGACGACACAGGAGAAAATCCTAGTGAGGGGCAACGTTTAAAAAAAAAGAATTGAATGTAAATGGACGAAATTAAGTGCGAGTGGGTGGACGCCTTTTATGTACCTATGTGCACCTTTATGGAGGATACTTATTATACTCTTTGGAGGTATGCCAAGTTCCGAGATGTCAGTGCTTAATGGTAAATATTTTTTATTCGTAGATTGTCAATTTCGCTATCATATTTTGTTTCTTAAACCAAAGAGATCCAACTGATTTCAAATTCAACACATTAATTTTATTATTGTTCATTTATATTTAAATCACACAGGTAAATATGCAAAACCGTTGCATTAGTTTGACTGTGCGGTCGAGTTATATTGTGTGGATTCTCCGTTTACTTGAGTTATAAACTATTTTGCAAATTAAACAATAGTTTAATTCTATTGCTTGTAATATTACTCATACTTGTCGATGAATAGAGTAAATAGGTAACCTAAGTAGTTTTTAATGTTTATAATTTTACACCATGGGATTTCCCTTAACTACGTTCATTAGACGTCATAGTATAGAATCAAACATATCGTATAGATTTTGAGGTCATATGCCTGTTGAGCGCATGGTTCCGGGTTTATGGAGACCATGGTTTATGATTTATTTCAAGTGTTGGAGAGCAATGCTTCGGCACAAATGGGCTGGCTTAACTAGACTGATACCACGGGCTCACAGAAAATCGATGTGAAACAACACTTTCGCTGTGTTTCGTCGTGTGACGTTGCCAGAAGCCCGATTATCCCCTTTCCCAATCTCCCCAATCCTCGAATCCCCGATAATTTCCAAAAGGCCGGCACGCACTTGTAATACGTCCATGGGCAGTACCAATTGCTTAACATCAGGTGACCCGTTTGCTCGTTTAACTGCTTATTTCATAAAAAATAAAACCAAAATGAAAAAAAAAAATCAGAAGCGTTGTGATTATATTTCTGCACTGTAGCTAGGTATCATAAACTAAAAACAAAAATCACGTCGAACTCATTGGATTTATCAACAGTTTCTGAACGAAACAATTTAAGTCAACCATATGCCAGAATTTCGGTCAAGAAGATCATATATTAGAACATCTATCTAACACGACAATATCACAATAGTTTAAAATACAAATGTAATATTAACAACAGATATATGTATAACCCAGTATGGTACGCGAACATAATGAACAGTATGAGAAAATAGAAAATAATAAAATGAAAATAGTCAACAAATAAAGAAAAAATCATATTTAAATACTGAAATAATCTTGTCTGCTGAAGGCACAATGATCAGAGCAAATATCAGGGCCGCAAAACGGAACGTAATCAAAAGTGCGTCCGATATAGTAATAGTAAGTTTTAGGCATTTATAAAATACTTTGTTCGCACTTTAGAATTCATCTCAGCTTCTGAAGCATGTATTTTACTAAGTAAAACGATCTGAATTAAAACTTAAACATATAAGACACCCCTCGGAAACCGTTCAGTTTTCCAAGATGAAAGTTATACTGAACCTTTTGAATTGAATTGTTCAAAATTGGATTTTATTTACAGATACCTAAAAAAAGAAGACAGAAATCGGTGCCTGCCATAAAACTAAACCAAGAAAAACAGAAAAACAAACAACCAAAACATATTAAAAACGAGAATACCACAACTATCCAGCATGGGATAGTTCTAAATAAGATGTACAATATCCAGAAGGAAGAAATAGGAAAGTCTAGTGTTTTGAAGAAAGATAAAAAGCCCAAAAAGGGTCATAAGAAACACATTAGCCATCCCAGTAACGCATACATACAAGAACATATGAAAATTACACCAAAGAGAGATCAAGATAAACCGAAGAAATCAATAGGGAAACAGAGAAGCAGTGCAGTAAACCAAACAAAAGCACATAGTAAAAGTGTCGAAACAACCATCAATAAGCGAAAACGTTACTTAGATAAAAATAAAAGTTCAGTAAATTTTTAAAAATATAATAAGCAACGTTAAAATTATGACAAATGACAAAATAACGGATTATTTTTATTTCAGATTTTGGAAAACTTAATAAGCAGTCCAACTATGAAAATCAAGACCCGAATTCTGATACGAAAAATTACATATTATCTATAGTGGACAGATGTAATAATGATAACAAGGATTTAAAGAAGAAGAGTTTCCCCAGAACAACACAAACTAGTACCGAAAGTTTAAGTAGTAACACGAGTACTAAGAACAAATGTACAAAGACAATAAAATATAGACTCAGAAAACAACTATGGTACTGGGCGAAGAATTCCATCAAACGAAACAAACATTGGACTAAGTTCCTTGCTGATAATAATATACGATTAGAAGATATAGACATAGACAAATTAGACCTGAGTCTCATCGATGTGGACGCACTGGGCATCGAGAATAAATTACTTAAGCATACTATACTCTGGTTATTTAAATAAAATTTTCATTATACTTATTGGATATAATTCATTTCTCGTGCCTTATTACTCTTGTCTCTTCTACAACGACATAGTTCCTCTTTATGTTTCCTTTATGTGAATCTTGCATAATCTGTTGGATTTGACAGTTGTTTATGTTTCCAAAATAAAAATGTGAAAGCTGAAGGAAAAATGTGTTAAATATTAATACGATTACTTTTAATATTTTGGAAAAACTTTATATGTTTTAACAGGTTCAACATGATTATGTTATTATAATCTTGAAATTGAAATCAATAGTAAAGAGAATGCAATCGTGATGATTTCAAGAGATAGGATATTTTAATAACATTTCAAACGTAAATAAAATGAAATGCGCAAGCATCACAGAAAAGGTAAATAATGCGGTTTGACTAATTTTTAAGTATGTTGTTACATTCCTAAATGTCCATTGCTATAGTCGCAATTATTATAATTGTCAATTCAATTATTATAATAACACTAGTGTTTATACTCGCCGTAGTTTTTCTGTAATTTCTAATTGTTACGCATATTAATAACATTGTGCTGTGTGAAATTGAAATGCAATTACATACCTATTCTTATTCGATCAGATTCTACTTCTTCAGGCAACCAGGGGGTAATCAACGAAGAAGAAGAAGATCAACACCACCATCATCATCATCATCATCAACAACAACCACAACAACAGCAGCCACAGCAACAGCCACAGCAACAGCCACAGCAACAACAACAACGATCAAAAAGAAGTAGTTTAACTACATTTAATGGATGGATGAAAGGAATTTTTAAGAAGAAACCCAAAGAAATTACACCAACGCCGCGGCCTCGGCCACAAAGCACACAGCACACAGGAAATGAAAAATTATTGTATATGAGAAATTCTTTAACTTCATTATTTAAAAATAAAAACCACAAACCTAAACTTACTATCAAGGATATTGAACTTCTTGATGGCATGGAAGTAAATGATTTGAAGAAGCGTTACATGGTGACTGGTCCAAAAGCTAACATACTCGAAATGTTGGTAGCAGATTATAAAAGTGGGAGATTCTCAGCACCAGGTGGATCTCATAAACCAAAACCAACTTCATCAACTCCAAAGGTGCTCGACAAAGTTATATTGGATCAAATGATAAAAGATTATGACGAAGAAATAAGAAAAAAAGATTTAGAAGAAATACAAAAGAATGCTGATGAATTGAAAAAGAGATTTGCTATGCCTGAAGCTCAAGTGCTTAAATTAGATAATATAGTCAAAGAACTGTATAAAGGAAAGAGTTCTCAGATGGATATAGCTGCAGCTTTACTTGATCCAAAGAAACTGACGAAAGAACAGCTTAATACCTTAATAAAAGAATACGAGGACAGTCAGGTTAAAAAGAAAAGATTATCGAACATTTTTGGTCAAAGTAGACTTTCGCTAGACGCGTCTAAAAAGAGATTTTTTCATTTGAGGGGGAAAGGGTCTGGTAAATAGAATAATAAATAAATGAATACAGATTAACATTCTTATGTAAGTAACACTTTCAACAGCAATAATTATAGAGGTATACTGATATCTCATGTAATAAAACTATTTAACATTTTTGTTTACAGGTTACCATGAATTTGCCCTACCTTGATACTACCACACCCTGGTACTTCACACTGAACAAAAACCATTATGTTGAGATTCCATTACCAACAGATGAAAATATTTCATTGCCCACTCCTACCAAGCGTTACTCTTGTACATTATCAAGAAAAAAGTGTAAAACCAATGAAGTACCAGTAGATGTTATTTTTGTAAATAAATCTAAACGTCAACAGTTACCAAATTCACGTAAAATAAAGGGCGAAACAAGTAATTCAATGCAAAGACGAAAACGTGTAAAACCTAACAGTATTAAAAAATCTCTCGAGTAAATGAAAAGAAATTACAAGTATAGTTTATAAAAAAATATTTAGAATTCCGTCGTAGTGTGTCAAATACATCGGCCAAGGTGAATGACTTTTTAAATTGGAGAAACGTGAATTATCTTGGACATATAAGTATAGCTAATTTGGAAAAGAAAAAGGAAAAGGAAAAATGATGACAAGTTATAATCGTCCTCAATTAACACACATGCGTAAACAAAATTTCAGCAGTCATCATACAATAATACGAGATGAAGGCAAAAAGAAAACCAAGGAAAGCAAAGACAGAAGACAGCCCTCGAAATGTATGAAGACTGCCATCAAAAATCTTGCTTTGGAGTCAATTGTTTACCATAATATTATGGCTTTTTGAATAAAATTATGGTTGCAATTTATATTTCTTATTTCATAATAGTACGAGTGACTAGATACTGCAAATGAATGTTTGGTAACGAAAATATTTTAGTTATATATCCTTTAATAAGAATAAGAAACGAAGTTGGCGAGTGTAATATAAGATAGAAGACTTCTACTACTAAATAGGCCTCGATCCTATTTCTCCCTGCCGAACGACAAGTTACCTTTTGCAAACAATCGATACTCTTGTTTAACACGTTAACTGCCTCACTTAGCGGAGGATCTTCTCTCAACAGTTTTATGTTGACAGTCACAGGCTTATTGGACGTCACTAGCGTCTCTTTTGAAGTCTCCGGTCCACCTAGTAGAACGTAAGCCTTCCCTTCTTTTATAGGTTCTATTTAACCTAGACTGGATTCAAGGTAAGGTTTTCTTGCCAAGAGACTGTACTACCAAGAATTCAAAGAAGTTACGTAAGAAGAAAGCGTAAATAGGTAAGGAACAAACAAACCATTTTATTTCCGCATTTATAATTATAACATTTGGGATAAATGTCTACTTGAAAATCAAATATTTTCCTGATGTCAGTACTTTTATAAGAACCGCATCAGTAATTGAAATGCACACATGCATTTAACATTTTCTTATCTTAACATGTTTAGACTTTGTGGTAACCCGCTCATTTTAATCATGGTTAGTTTCAACGTTTTCTTTATTTTTAATTGATTTCACTCAGTTACCTAAATGTGTATAAACAGTTCTCGCTACCAAAACTGATAATTTAAATCGTGCAATCCCGTTTTTTCCCGTTCCCGTAGGATTTTTGGGAAATCATTACATAAAAAGTGCAAAAATCCTATGTCCGTGTACACGTGGTTCTAAACTATCTCCCCATCAATTTGCAGCCAAATCGATTTAGCCGCTCTTGTTGTAAATAGTTTAACTACTAAATAAATTATTATGTTTTCGGCTTACTCACAGCAGCGCGACAGTCGCCGCGAAATGCTGCTCATGAATATGAGCCTCTAGCATGATTTGAAACTAGTCGAGTTCCTCGTCAAATAATTACGTGAGTAAGTCGAAAACATAATCATTTATTTAGTATGATCTGATCGGGCGGCGAGTCACCCGTGCTCGCTGTCCGCAGGCCCGTGCTTACGGTAGCCGGAGATAGTCTCGCGATCCTCGACGCTCAGAGTGTCTCTCGTGACGGCTGAGGCGTGAGGAGGTTCGTTCCCTCACGCGCCCCGCCTCCTCCTTAACTAGCATGACTGCTTCGCAGAAGGAGGAGACGGCAATCCAGTCCCCCTCGCTCCGTACGATAGTCTGAACTAGAGCCAGACGCGAGAGGTCGCCGTCGCCGATGACATCCCTGAGGACACGGCGGTGGTGCTTAACCCACGCAAGGCACACCGCTACCGTATGCTCCACCGTGTCCTCAGTATTTATAACTCTAATACTAATAATGTACTACACTAATTTTACACACGAATTTTTGTATTATAGATGTCCCAAATATTGTTGGTATATTAATGTACCAAATATAGGTAATCTTCGGACACTGATCACTGATTAATTTTAATAAAAAAGAAAGTTGAACACACTTTGGTCACTGACATAAAAAATAATGATTACGGGAAATAAATGTTATTTACGAATTTGTGGATATTGGCGCAATTACAGATATTTGCCGCTGCGACATCTGTTGATGCCGCGCCGTTCTGCGGCAATTGCATTCAACAGCAAGCAAACCTGAGAAATAGGCCACGCAATAAACTGCTGTCGATGAATTGGGATGGTGTTGCATTCAGGCGTCAGGACAACCCGATCCCACTACGTCAAGACCCAAACTATGAAACTGGTGACCCAGACGATCCATCCAATCATGATAACCTAAAGAATACTTTTGGTAAAAGACCGAAAAATCCGAAGACTCGTAAGCAGTGCTGTCCTTATGACTTTGACCGCAGTATTTGCAAGGTGTTGGATGACAGGGTACTGTGTGGATATAATAAGAACATAGGAATGCCACAGAGCAAGCTTGAAGTGTTCAAAGTGACTGAAAACTGTAGGATACGTGGGGGACGATTGGAGTGTGGGTATGATCAATCACCCTATAACGGTATTAGAAGGCCTCCCGCGCGGGATAATGATCATCCTCCAAGCGACTACGGCCGTAACCAAAATCCTGGTGACTCCAATATTGGTACTACTCCACAGTATCCGGCCGCGGTTCCTAGATGTGTAGAAATTGACGACCGTATTATTTGTAAACAATTTTAACCCTTAACTATCCAGAATGCTTTTGTGACGTAACTGACCAGTAGTGTCCAACAGACTCATTTTATAAATGTAAGGTATGATGAAAGAAAAGAAAGATATTTTGAATGAAAAAGACAGTATAATGTATTTCAGTAATGTGTATTTACACTTATTTACTTATAGATATTACAATTATTTTTTTTTCACAATATTCAGTGCATGTATTGCGTTTGCGTTCAGCACAACACTGTTTAGAAGCCCTTGATAATTTTGAAGGGAAAATATAACAAAACTTCTTCCTTTTCCCATTGTCGCTTGATATATTGGATTGCCAAAGATAGGGCACCAGTATTCTCTAAAATTTACACCTCCCTGTTTAGTGACGGTTATAGTCAATAAAAGACCTCGGAGTACTTGCATTTCGATTTTATATCTGTTGATTTCCATCGATTTTGTAAAATTCTAAGCCCTTCAGTATTGGTATATTTTACTATTATTTGTAATACGTGTTCGTCGAAAAAAAGGCTGAAACTGTCTATCGGATCTATAATAGTTTGCACCGGAGTAGGAAGAATCACCTTATGGATACCACCGCGAATTATGTTGTGTCGAGGCGTTCGGTTTTGCCTGTTAGGTTCTGATTTCCAAATTGTTATATTTTCCTTTATAAGTGTAAATTGAGACGTATTCTTGTAATCATCATCCCTGTTATTCCATAATTGTTCATCATCGTTTTCAGATGCTGGTTCTGTGTATATTACTTTCACTATCAGAACAGCTGTCAACAGCAAAATTCTCATCATCACTATTGCACTCATGGACAAAAATGTTTTCATCGTCACTTTCAACAAGGGCACGCTGAATTTCACTTTGTATTAGTTGCCGTTTAGCGATATCATTCAATAAAAACGAATTAGAACATGACTACATTTCGAGAAGAGTTTTTGATTACTGATACGTGATACGATTACAAAAACTATGATTATAACACAAACAAAGGTCTAGCAACCGCTATTGCCCACCCGACACCATAATATCATAAGTAAATGTAAATAAAAACAATCTACCTTCACACTTGAATCAAATAAAATGATATTGTGTCTGTTGGACACTTCTGGGTTGATGAAGTACTATTTTCATTTATTGACCAAAAATAATAAATTATTCACGTTACAAATATTTTCATTGCACATTTAGATTCGTAAAACATTGACGATAAATTAGATAAAAGGCCGATTCATAAAAATAAAAACTTTAGCTTTTATGAAAATATAAACGCAAAATTGTGTCCGCGAGACACTTGTGGGTTGTTAAGGGTTAAGGAATAATATTGAATTTGGAAGTTATTATAAAATGTTGTTTGTTTAATTTTGTTCACCGAATTACATTAATAAATATAGATACTTCGAATTCATATTATATGAAACGCGTTTTTATTTGTCACATTTTAGTGTCTAAATAATGCTAGAATATAAGAGCTGACTGTAGGTAGCTGTGACTGTAGCTCGGTTACTCTCCGACAAAGCTAATTTATTACCCTACTGATTTGAAACCTAATGTTCACGAGTTACCATAATCATAGACAATAGATGTCTGTATTCATTTAGTTAGTCATAGAATTATCGTTGCAACACATTTCGATCCAATCTTCCATAAGCATTATTATAGTCAAATTCAAAGTCAAAATCATTTATTTCAATTTGACAAGGAAGGCATTTTTAAACGTCAAAAAATATTTAACACAGCATCACGCCTTTTTATCCCCGAAGGGGTAGGGCAGAGGTGTACATTTTGGCACTTAATGCCACTGTACACCCACTTTTCACTATTTATGTTAAGAATCCCATGTAATAGGGGGTGAACCTATTGCCATATACCGGGAACATTTCCAGACTCCATGCTACTACTGAGATTTTAAAAAACCCAGTAATACTTTGTCGGACCCGGGACTCGAACCCGAGACCCCTTGCCCAGTAGTCGCACTTGCGACCACTTGTTAAATATTAAATAATAAGAAAAAATATCAGTCTCTAGGCCAATCCTCTATTTGCTCGTTCCAAAGTGTAGATTTTTATGGAGAAGAACGAGCAAGAAACTCCATATTTCTAAAATATCAAACTATCAAACAGGAGATTAGCTAAGCCTTCTTATGAAGGCTTATAGTCTTATTGTGGATTGCCTCATGTAGTCTCATTATTGATAGGTCTCATCTAAGACAAATCCAAGACAGCTTAAGTATTGAAGAAAAATACGTAATATTACTGGAGAATGTAAACTCTATCAAATACCTACATATAATAGATTTGTATCAAAGCTCCTCGATCCAAACAAAC